ATTTATTATTAACGAACTTAAATAATTTAATATTTTTTTTAAAATAAAAAATTTTAAATTCAAATCACATAATATAAAAATAACATAAAATAAAAAATATAATATGATGCTCTCATTCTGCAACTAATATATATATATATATGGTGTCTACTTTGATACCGGATCAACATGTGCCACATCATTAAGATTTAAAGTTGATCTTTAATCTTAAAGTGGGGTCCATGCAAGTTGAGGTAGAAGACAGAAGGCATACCAAGTTGTAAACAAATTGCCATTTCAAGCCTAATCTGCGCCACTTAAGCAGAGATTAACGGGGCAATAGAGATTGTCACAGAAAAATTCCATCATCACTAAGACATTAGCAAAAGAAGTGATCTACGCGTTTTGAGTTTTGAGTTTTGAGTTTCTCAAAGCGATTTACATTCTATATATCTTATTCCCCTGAAAACTAGTGGTTTTCGCAGGGGGAAGAGTGGTTTTGCTGGCTCCATCATGGGAAATTGCCTGTGCCGCCGAAGCAGAGCGAAGGAAGAAGAAACACAGGAAACTCAACAGAAAGAAGTGAAGGAAAGTGGGGTTGGAGAAGGCAGCCCAGAGCCGGACGAAAAAGCTTAGAGGAGGTTCTGGGAGAAGTTGAGAAAGTGAGATCAGAGAAAGTCTCGAGGGATAATTGCTATAAATTGATGATTTTCTTGTTTCTGGAACTTAGTTTAATGGGTAGTGACCCAAATTTAGAAAGTTTCTCATCTTTATCATCAGATATTTGGTTTTTCCAAATTGAAAGGAAGGATGATGTACTGATTCAGTAGTCTTGAATATATTCTAGCATAAGCTATACAGCACATGATTTTGTCAGTGATGCTTTTGTTATGTGTAGTCGGCGTTAGTATTTTTCTTCCTATATTTTCTTTTTCTTTTCTGATGGCATACAATCCCAACTAGTAAAATGAGTGCCCAAAATCATTCAAAATACAATAAATGCACCCTTAAGATTAATTACTCATTTAAATCAGTTTAAAAGAAAGAAATGGAGAAATGATTTTGAGATTTTTTTTTTGTTTAACTTGACATATCATTTACCTGATTGATTCTTTTTATTCATATGAATCTCATGATATTGAATGCATCAACTCATTTAATAACATATAAAAGTTGTATGAAAAAATTATATAAAAAAAATTAGTTCTTTATATATAATCTTCTATTTATGGGTAAAAAAAACAATTTTGTAATATTGTTAATTGATGACCAAACAAAACAATTTTAATTTGTTGGCCACTGAGAAGGAAGAATCTAGAAAAAAAAAGGAGATTGAACGGTTGAGATGAAGATGAGAGAGCAAATGTGTAATTTAAATACTTAATTTCTTAAACCCGTAATTAGATGGTTAAGACCTACTAACTAGAGTGTAAAAAATAATGTTTACTTATATAGCCAATCAACAAATGCCATATCATTCTTTTTTAAAGTTGATCTTTAATCCTAAACTGGGGTCCATGCAAGTAGAGGTAGAAGACAGAAGGCACCAAGTTGTAAACAAATTGCCATTTCAAGCCCAATCAGCTCCACTTAAGCAGGAGATTGTGACAGAAAAATTGGCATCATCGCTAAGACATTAACAAAAGCGGTGATCTACAAGTTTTGATTAGTAGGAAGTCCGATTTGTGCAACTTTTTAAGTAATAAAAAATAATTTTGGGATATTATTTTTTATCATATTTTTTATCTAATTTAATATGTCGTTTAAATAATTAATTTTTTTATTTATTTAAAATTTATGATATTAAATGTATTTACACACTTAATAACATATAAAAATTATATTAAAAAATAATATAAAAAAATTATCCTTATAATATCACTATTTTTAGTAAAAAAGCGGACATATAAGAAGGTCAATTTGCGCAATTTTTAAGTAAAAGAGCTGACATGACATAACAATCAAAGTAGGGAGGTTGAATTGCACCCGAAGAATGATATTCCGAACCAGACAGACAGCTCCTCAGAAAATTGGGAGTGTGCTGAGGAGAAAATTGAGAAGGAGACAAGAAAAAAACCAGACATTAATGCGTAGGGTGCGCTTGGCAACTGGTCCTGGACGGGATCCCTAACAAGCAACAACAACAACCCTTTTGGATTTTGCGTTCCCAAATCCCAATGATCTTGTTCACACCCTGTATTAAAGGGGTGCTGACCACGTATGCCGACAGTGCCTAACCTAAACCGGTGGACGAAGTCCAACAAACAACATAAATTTCAATAGAATTATTTCTTCTCAAAGTGATGAAGAGTCCTATAAATCTCATTAAATTATCCTCTCTTTTTCTTTTTTTTTTTTTTTTTTTTTTTGAAACTTATTAAATTATCGTTGCTGAGAGACATACTTCTGATATTATGGGGATTTTTTTTTTTATGAATAGTTATAAATATGTAATTCGTGTTGAGTAGATGTAAAATTAGTGAGTTATATTAGTAATGCTATGTGTATAATAGTAAAAGTAAAAATAAGAATTTTTTATTATTTAAAATTTTAGATAATTGTTGAAATTATTTAAATATACTTTTAACAAATTTTTTATGTGTTAATTTATTTAAAATATTTAAGTTTTTTAACTATGAGTTCTACTAATATTTTTAATTATTGAAAATGATTAATTTTTCACAATTCTATGTATAATTATATATATTTTTTATAATATAATGTGATGTTATTGTAAATACCACTTTTAATTCTAGCTAGAAGCCTCCCAATCAACAGTAGTATGATAAAAATAGTATCACCTTTTGAAAAACTAATTGCTTGTGGTGTGGTGGAGATCCCAGAAGACGCAAAGCCAAAAGTTAAAAACAAAGCAAAAAGATGTGTTTAATTCGTTCTTTTTTTCTTCAAAAGATATGTTTCCTTCATTCTTTTTTTATTTTTCTTCCAAAGCAAAAGTGGAGTTCACAATGCAATTTTCTTCATTCCAAACCTTTTACTTTTTAGCAAAGAGAAAAATAAAGCAAAAGAGGGTCCCTCTAGTGTTCACAAAGGAAAAGTAAATTATCTTTAATCAAAGCAATAATATATATTCACATTAACAAAAGCAAAAGATATATAAAGTTGGATGAAATCTCGCTAAGCATTAGCCTACGCAAATTCAGGCAGACAGCCGGATAACAACACTAATTAACGTCAATCATAAAATCATATATAATTAAACAAATGGGGTTTTCAAGCACCAATTATAAAAAATTGGGAAAGAGGTAGTAAAGCAAGTCTAATTAGTCTAACTGATTACCTCTACTTCCTTTTTTTAAATATTATTTTTGGTATTATTTGGGTCTTGTATTCATGGATCGCCCAAGAAATATCCGACACCAAAGATAACCCAAATCTAATTATGTGGCCTATCAACTTTATTAGCTAAAAAGAAGAAGATATTGAGAGAAAATAAATGGAAATAAGATTCAAATCCTATCTCAACTTTAAATTAAAGTTTTTAAATTATAATTTTTTTTTAATATGATGCCCTATGTGTTACATCTTTTTGTAATTAGTTTGAATGAAAGATATAATTATTGACTCTTATAATTAATTAGTTAATTATAAATATCCACGTAATCATGGTTTTAAGACAAAGATCAATTTTTGTATTTTGTTATGTATATTAATTAAAAATTAAGGTATTTATTGCACCTTAACCTACAACTCTTAAATTAGTGAGTATTGATTCAGTGACACTTCTATTGATTCTCTTGGCTCCTTGCATTATTAACATTGGCAGAAATCAATAGAGAGAATGGATTTTACTAAAGTTAATAAATAATAACTTTTGAGATCGAGTTCTCTAGTATATAAGTGAGACAAGATAATAAATAAAAAAAATTACTTTTTATTATATAATTAAAATAAAAAAAAATAAATACATAACTTGAATAAGAATTTTTCAACATAGTAGAATGGAGACCATCAGTTAGGCGGTTTATTGGGTAATGTGTACTTTGTTATTGTCTTATTGTAGAAGGATGAGGTAAAACAAGTCCAAGGCAATAATATAGTCAATGATACGTGGATTGCCTATAAATACCATCACATGCTTTGGTTTAGCATTCACATGTCTGGACCCCTGTTTGCTTTGCCGCTGCAGACAAAAAACCGCCTTTTGGGACTCTTATTCCCCTGAAAACTTGTGGTTTCTGCAGGGGAAGAGTAGTTTCGCCGGCTCCATCATGGGAAATTGCCTGTGCCAAAGCAGAGCAAAGGAAGAAGAAACACAGGAAACTCAACAGCAACAAGTGAAGGAAAGTGGGGTTGGCAAAGGCAGCATAAAGGTGAAGATAGTGCTTACAAGGGGGGAGTTAGATCTGTTATTGCTTAAGCTGAAGAGTAATAATGGAGGAAAGAGCTTAGAGGAGGTTCTGGGAGAAGTTGAGAAAGTGAGATCAGAGAAAGTCACAGGATGGAGACCTTCATTGCAGAGTATCATGGAGGACCCTGAAGGGCCTGAAGTGGATTGATGATGAATCTTCCATTTTTTCTTTTCTTTTCTTGCTTTGTTTCTTCTTTACCTTATAGGCCTGTTTGTCATCTTCATCCTATCCCCTTTGTCCAGCTTGGGTACATTCCCTAAGAGAATAGATTAAGGTCTCGAGGGATAATTGTGATAAATTGATGATCGATCTTCTTGTTTCTAGAATTTAGGTTTGAGTAGTGACCCAAATTTAGAAAGTTTCTCATCTTTATCATCAGATATTTGGTTTTTCCAAATTGAAAGGAAGGATGATGTATTGATTCAGTAGTTTTGAATATATTTTAGCATAAGCTATATAGCACATGATTTTGTCAGTGATGATTTTGTTATGTTGTCAACGTTGTTTTTTTTTCTTCCCATAATTTCTTTTTCTTTTCTGATGGCATACAACACAAACTAGTAAAATGAGTGCCCAGAATCATTTAAAATTGAAGGCTTTTCATCTTTCTTTTCCTAATATGGCCAAAAAATTCTTTCTTCTCCCAGGAAGAAATTAAAAGTGGGGATTTTGGAGATGGAAAAAACAGAAGTGCTGCCCATGTGTGTGTATATATATATATATATATGCATGGTTATCCAACTTAGTTCAGAAAAGTATGGTAGATTAGTAGATCATCAAATCCCAATAAATTACATTAAAAAGAAAAAAAAAAAGGAGGGGGAGATGATTGATAATTTTAGCTTTAAAGGAGGGAAAATAAGAATGTTAATTTAATTTTTTTTATTTAAAAATATTAATTTTTTTGGTTTCTAAATAAAAATGTTAATTTTTAATTTTTTTTATAAAAAAATATCAACTTTTAATTTTA